TGCCCTGAAAACCAGATATAACCTTGGATGTTGCTTGGTGGTCTTGAGAGCATCGCAGCGATGTAGAATGGGTCTGGGGTTCGGGGTGATCGAAAACAGGCACGTCATCAGCACCTCTGCTGATCCAAATCGTTCCAAATCCTGACACCCGGGCTCTCCCAGTGCCCCTTAAGTCGGGTCGCCCATCTTGCCGGCCCTGTGAAGACACCTCTGCTGGGCTAGGGGTTGAAGGTTTCGGAGGATCCTAGGGCAAAGCGCTCGGCCCCTTTGCAAAACCCGCAAGAAGGACTCCGTACTTGTGCGCTAGTTCCGCTAGTTCTGAAGTCACTCAGTGAAGCCTCGCTTGCATGTCCACCTAGAGTCTAGGTGGACATGCAAGCGAGGCTTGGAGTGTGCTTCGCACATTACAATGGTGGTTTCGATGATTTCGGGTTCAACTGGCGAGTTGAACTTTTGAGGATTGAACTTTGTTGGCATAGCGAAAGCCACACACAAGGCGTGGTCTGGCTCAACTGCACACATGATCCGGTGACGGTGTGGTCTGCGCCGTGCAAACCGCGGAAATCCCGCTTACTTCGAAGCAGCAAGTTCGGTGCAAACTGCCTTCAAAAATGATGGGGCTGGAATAGCACCATGAACCGCCATGCGCTTTTCGATGGAGGTCAATCAGCAAAAAAACGCAACAACAACTCTCGCGTGTAGCATGTCTGAGAATCGAAAAGCCTGGTGCATGCAATCACTGGGCTTCGTCCCCAACGAGATCGGAAAAAAAGCCCTGGCGAAGAGGGAATATTGGCCAGAGACGAACGAGAATGACCTGCCATGGACCCTGCCATACTGAAAGTGGGTGAAGAGAAGAGCGCACGATCTGTGAAATTCGAATCGGCTTGCCGACTCGTGAAGTTCAGGAACACACGGACGGAGAACTCCTGCTCGATTTTGGCTATGCCTGCACCCAGCTAAGTGGCAAAGCTATACTTGTATGCAGGCACATGATTGTGCATGTACAAAGTATATTACTGTGCGGATGTCCAAAATGCATGTATGTATGCATGCATGTATGTAAGACAGAAACAGCGTGACTGGCAGAGAGAGAGAGAGGTACATGCCTACCTACCTACCTACCTACCTACCTACCTACCTACCTACCTACCTACATACATACGTACATACATACATATATTGTACATCATATTGTTCATTTACTTCTTGTATCTCTAGATGTGTATGTGTGTATGTGTATATATATATATATACATGGCAAGATTGACGGTCTGGGTGGTTGTACTGACTACATACACTCGGCAATAGCACGGTAGATGTTGTGCTAGGGGCCCGGCTTTCAACACTCAGAAACTCCAGGACGCACACCGCCAAGGACCTGAGACAGCCCAAGCCCAAGGCTTCAAGGGTTGCCTCGCAAACTCAAGGTGTCGGGAAAGTACAGGAACGCAGATGCGCTTCTCAGTCGTCCCTCAATTGCCTGCCGGTTCTGCAGTGCATCAGGGCCACGTGCCAGCAGCCGCAAAGGCCAGGAAGCGAAGTCCGGCCGGGCCCTGCGCAATCTGATCCTGTCGCGTAGTAGCCAGGCTTGGAAGCTTGTCTGGTTGATGAGGCCAACCGGAGGGCGAAGATTGCTTGTGAGGGTGAGGCATTGGGAATTGGAGGTGCGCTTCGGGCGATGGGGGCATGCATGCCCAGTCTCCGCCAACATCCGCCCGGCTTGGCCCAACGCCTGCGATGCCATGCACATCCCGGGCCTGAACCATCAACCTGCACCCCTTCTCGGCTCCCTCGAAACACAAGGACCTTCAGAAACCTCTGCTGCAAAAGGAAATGGGAATTACCTTTCAGCTTGCTGCTGGCAGCAGTAGCGACAGCGACGTTAGCAGTGGCAGCAGCAGGTTAGGAGCAAAACAAGAGCATGAGCAGTGCTACATATAGGAAGGTTTTAGCAGTACCAGCACGGGAAGAAGCATCAGCAGAAGGACTCGTAGTCGGAGTAGCAGCAGCAGCAGCAAAATTAGGGGCATCATACTATTCAGAGGGGGAGGAGGAGGAGGATGAGGCGGAAGAGGACGAGGAGAAGTACAGCAGTCGCAGGAGAAGAACAAGCAGTGGCTCAGCAGCAGCTGGTGCCGTTGTCGTTGTTGCCTGGGATCTGGGCCCTGATTCAACCCTCGATTGGGACCTTTGGGACACTGAGGCCGCTCAAGACCAGTCCCATCGGTGGCGCATGAAACGCAGCAACATGAAATGAGCAAACGTATGGCTTTAGAGGCCCGAGCCCACCATGTACTCAAAGCAGTCAAACCCCGTAGCCGTAGCAGAACCATTTTTGGGAATTGGATCCGCTGCTAAACTTAAGTACCTTGCCTCTGCTTCTCTCACGAAAATGAGATCACAAGCTCATAAAAACTTGTGAAGGGGCTCTACCTGCCCGGCCCCCGCGGCAGCTTGCCGGGCAATCTCCTGCCAATGAGTCAGGAAAGCGATTCCCAGTATCTTCTCCAATGGCAGGATTGACCGCGTCATGAAGTAATTGTCATTCCTACTGTTTTGTCACTGTGACATTAGTACTGCTGCGAACTGTAGGGATGAATGTTGGCATTGCGGCTATTGCTGCTACTGGACCTGCTCAATTGTCAAAGCAGCAGTGGCAGCAATGGTGGTCGTCGTGGTCATAAATGTCCTCCTCCCCCTCCACCCTTGCCTCCTCCCTTTCCTCCTGCCTTTCCTCCTCCCTTTCCTCCCCCTCCTCCGCCTCCGCCTCCGCCTCCGCCTCCTCCTGCTCGTCGTGCTTGTCGAAGCGGCAGCGGACAGCGGAAGCGCTAGCGCTAGCAGCAGCAGAAGCAGTAGCACTTGCAGTGGCGCTAGAACTAGCACTAGAAGTTGCAGTAGTGGTAGAAGTAGCAATAGCAGCAGCAGCAGCGGTAACAGCAGCAGCAGCTGCAGCAGCAGTGGCAGTGGCAAGTGCCAGCGGCAGTGTTGCCAGTAGTTGCAGCAGTATCAGTAGCAGTAGCAGTAGAGCAGTAGCAGTAGGAGTAGGACTAGTAGTAGTAGAAGTAGGAGGAGGAGTAGGAGGAGGAGTTGGCGTAGGTGGGAGTAGTAGTAGTAGTAGTAGCAG